ACACCAAAAATTGGAAGAAGAGTCACAGGGACTCGAAAGCTATATCATGTCATCAAGGAATAAATTGCGTGCAGATCGAAATCAGCTGATTCATATGCAAAACTAGAATCGGCTTTCTTCAGATAGCGCCAGCAGATAACGACAAAGGCTATGATCGGCGCCAAGATGAGATATGTTGGACTCTACAAAAAGGGAAATATTAGAGTTCAAGTTATCTTAAATTAAGAATGTTTTCTCTAGGGTCAAAAATTGTGATGAGTCATGCTTAGATAGGAGTCATGCGCAGGTCCCGGGTATAAATATCAAAGCCCGGCTATTGTAAAACAACAATCAATCCAATATACAAGTCATTTACTTTTTCGGCCACCCTTAGGAGTAGGAGTAGAATAGATCTCGGCGAGTTCTTCAGTAAGTACGACTGCATCGATCCGGCCGACCTCCACTGCTTGTTGTAAGTACCATCATGGCTTATACCTCTGTTCGTACGGCTGCATCGATCCAGTCGACCTCCACTGTGACTCTGCTATAAGTTAGTTATCGATTCTTGCCTAGTTCAAGTATGGCTGCATCGATCCGGTCGACCCCCACTGCATGAACTAGATCAAGGTCATGCTATCGGCTCTACCTTAGAATGACAGTTTTTGGTAGATTCATTAAGTTACCGATATTGCTTATCGCTTTCATTATTTATCTAATTACAGCAATATCACTCTATCTGATTGGGATTGATCTAGATCGGCCTTATATCTTTTTTAGCCCATCGTTTGTTAATCTGAAACTGGTCTAATCTACACATTAAGCGATGAGTTATGTTTTACCGGCTGTTCTACATCAATCTTGATCGTGCATAGCGTGCAGTTAAAGCATGTTGTGTCTTGAGTAGATTTATTAGCTAATGAAAACCGTTCCATGGCCCGTTATCACGGCCCGTGTGATTCTACCTCACACCCCACTATTAGCACCGTGGAGTGGGGATCATTATTTGGTAGATCTATTCCCGATAAGGCATGATTTTAACTGTGCGCTATGCCTGAATCGGCTGTTTTAGCCGATATCGAGTGCTTCCACGAACAATTCGCATCACGAGACCGTTGAAGTAAAGATAGGTTGAAAGATGTATTAGCCCCATGATCTTATTATTGTATTACGGCGTGCATAATTCTGGCTCATGCCCCATATTAGTAATGAGTTAGGGTCGTCGAGTCTATTGTTATTTCTACGGCCTGCATGATTCTGCCTCAAGCCCCACTAGTTATAGCGATAAATGAGATCTAACATGTTCATTAGATTTACCTTTATTAAACGGTTAAGTGGTGTTGAATTGTTTCTTTATATAAAAAGATGTTCGGTTACCTGTAATCATTGGCTTGGTATAAATCAATCATTGTTGACATCTTATTGCCATTGATTAATATTTGTTCAAATAACGACATTTATCCTGAATGATAACCGATTCTTCTTACACAGCCCAATGAGCTTTAACCGATTTATTCTTACAAATATGCTGGAATCGACTGTTTAGTCGATCTCCTTTCATATCGGCTCTCAGAGCCGCACATTCGGGACTGTCTGGCAACACCGGCACGTTCCGCACTTAATTACTGATAAACTTTCTCTCCTTGTCAATTACAGGGTCAAAATGACTGACACGTCTCGGGAGGAGTGCGCAGGATCGATCATCCCTACGCTGAAGCTAGGCGGATCTACAGCTTCATCGAGTAGACCCTTCCGGCTTGCTGTGTGTGTCTTCGGCACGGGACGAAAATTCTGTGTCGACACACACACATAGCCATGAGCCTCTCTAAGTCCCACTTCTCGGGCTGTATGTTGTAGTTGACAATAAAAGTGTCAAATTTCTTTCGCAAGGAAGCAAAAATCAGATGGATAAGGAACTCTTCCTTGAGAGCCAGATCCATTGGTTTTAGCCTTGATGCCAAATTGCTCATCCTTAGTATGTGCTCTCTTATGCTACCATTTCTAGAGTACCTCTCTGTCACTAGCTGCTTTATCAGCTGGGTAGCATATGTCTTTGAAGAGCCAGTGAACTGACTCTTTATTCTATCGAGGTACTCGGTGACGATGTCACACTCTGGGATTGAGCCTACAATTGCAGGCTCAATCGTGTTCTTTATCACAACCATACATTTCTTATTGGCAGTGACCCACTTCCTATGCTCATGGTGACATGACATCTTTTGGGATTCAAAATCCCTCTCTCTAGTTGCCCAAGCGGCATCAACCTCGTTTGTCTCCCTTATCGGTGCCACGGGCTCAGTGGGATATGGTGAGGTGACTACCCAGTCCACCTTAGCCAAGATGAAGGCCAGGTCAATCTTTTTCTTCCACTCCGTGTAGTTGTCACCTTTGAGAGTGGGGATCTCTTTGATATAACCCATCAAGTTGTATCCGCCTAAAAACACAATTCATATGGAGTGAGAACATAAACATAATAATAACAATTGCATGCCTTAGTTCCAACGTTGGTCAAAATTAAAATATACAATTGTCCTCTACACTAATTCTACATCACCGTTGGACAGAAATAGAATTAATGCATGACAAAACATCATAATATTGTCATTAATCAACGTTGGTCAGAATAATAACAATATTATAATAAACTAAAACCATATCTATTTTTCAAAATTAAATTCTCCCGTTGGTTCGAATTTAATAATGAAAATAACAACTTTAAATATGCAGCGGAAAAATAATTTAATTTAATGAATTTTACCCACAGGATAATTCTCTTTTCTATTTACTTTAAGCCATTTATCCATTTTCCAGAAAATAAACATTTACTGGAAAAAGAAAAAGAAAAACTGACTCATTTCTTTACTGTTCCTTCGGCCCGACCAAGAAATCGGCCCGGCCTAGCTCCCTTGCACGCGCGCTGCCCGCACCCAGGCCACAACCTAGGCCTGGGCCAGCAAAGTCGTGCGGCCGCGCGCGCCCGCCTGGGCTGGCCTTCGGTCCGGTCGATCTCGGCCGCTCATCTTCATCGGACGACCGCGCACGCGCGTCGGTCGAACAAAACGGCGCCGCGTCGCCCGAACCTAAAACCCTAGTGCCATTCTTTCTTTCTCCTTCCCTCTCTCACTCACTCAGCCCCGCAACGCACCGAGCGATAGTGAGCACAGAGAGACGAGCCATGGCAGTGCCATCGCCGGCCCCCTCGTCGGCGTGCGCGCTCCCCAACGGGTGAGCGCGTCGTTGTCGAGCGGCCTGGCGGCGGTGCCCTACCGCACCCGTGGAGGCTGTGCCTGAGCGGCAGCGGCGCTTTCTTTTTGCGCACCGGCGAAGCGGTGCTTCCCGCACGACGACGGTGACGGCAGCGGCAAGGTAAGCCTCTTTCCCTTCCCCTTCTTCCCCTTCTGGATCTTGTTTCTCTTCTTGGGTTTCACCGATTGGGATTAGAGTTAGGGTTTGATTAGGTTTCAGGTTAGGGTTTCACTGTTTATCTTCCTCGTGCTGTTCTTCATGGGTATGGCTCGGATTCGAGTTCTTTTCTAAAACACGATCCCTCTGTCTTACTCGTTTCTTCACCCGATTAGGGTTAGGGTTCGGTGACCCTCTTCTCTTCTTAGATCCGAACGGATCTAATCTGTTCCTTGTCGTTCACCCGTTCTAGATCTAAAAACCCTAGAAAACGAGGCTCTGGTACCATTGTTGGTCTATTCTTATCATATGGTCATAGATCTAGTCGGGTACATCATGTAAATGTATAGCATGTCCTAGTACATGAACTAGACAGATATTAGAGGGAGTAGTGCTAGGTTACCGACCATCATAGGCCTTCGATCTAGAGGCGTCTGCCATGGGCGTTGCGTCGGTGTCTACGCGAGGGTAGCGACGGTCGGTGAAGACGGTGTCGATGATGAGCAGTGGCGACCGAGCAGTGAAGACCGATGGCGGCGCAGTGCAGTGGTGGAGGTGCTTCCCATCATTGGTTGCGCCCCTCACTAGATCGGGTTTAGGGTTTGTCAGTGGGGAGCTCGGTTTAGGCGAACCTCGTGACTTGAGCCGCCGGCTCCCACCTCTATTTATTGTGCAGTGTGACAGGGGCCCTCCAGCCATAGTGGGTTGGACTCCCCCGATCATGGCGTGGATGAAAGGCCCAACTAGGCCATTGGACCCAGTTTGAAATTAGAGATCAATCTAGCAGGTTTGTCCGTTTGTTCTCTCTAGCTGCCCAAACCATGTCTAACCACTTACAATTTTCATTTCAAACCAATGGTTCAATTGAGTCCCATGAGTTTCAGCTAAAAGCTTAGAAGTTTTAAGCAAGATCCAAAATCGTTCAACTTCGAATCAAGAGCTACTTATGGAGGTAAAAAACTTTTTGCCTCGGACTTCCAAAATAACTTGAAATCACCAAAGTGGAATTTTGTGGTCAAGTGATTTTTTATTTTAATTTCAAATGAGTACTCACTTCAAATATAAAACGATCCTGAGATTTCGATGGTGGCGGCAGCTGTGTCGGGAAAGCTGAGCGACATAGCGTATCCCTCCTCGTCTCTTCGAGATGGATCAGCATCTGACCGGCTGAAGAACACACGATCGGCTCTCGACGCTGACCAAGTAGGCTCTCGACGCTGTTACAGGCTTACAGCGTCGCCCCCGGCGCCGAGCTGCGCATGCTCTCTGGCGACTGGTCATACAGAGAACTCCATGTGCCCAACCGTCGAGAGCGCGTCGCTCATACCGTGGAGCGCTTACTGCGGCACTAGCCAGAACACGCTGATGGGCACGATGGCGTTGGGGCTGTCGAGCAGGCCGTGGTCCGCGGCCACGCGGCGCCGCCTTGCCTCCGCGAGCGCGCCCGGCCGCCATTACGCCGAGGTCGGAGACCGCGAAGCCGGCGGCCGGGCGGCGCCCATGCGCTGGAAGTAGGTGATGCCGGCCCGACGCGCCGACCGCCGCCCGGTGTAACGACTACCGAGTAACGACGCGCCACGGGGACGAATAAGACGCGGTCGTAGAGCGCGAGGCTGACGAGCATGGTGAAGATGATCATTTTTGGCCGACGGGATCTGCAAGTGCGGGGTGAGGTGGCGGTCCACAGTGTGCGCCTGATGGATGGCGAAGGTGCGTTGCGAGACGCGGCCGCGATGAGCGTAATGCTGGCCGCGATGAGCATTGCCGCCAAGGAGGCGGGTGGTGTTTACACCACCACGCTCGCGCGTCGGGGGGAACAGCCGCGTCTTGCTATTCTTTGGAGAACTCGGGCGGGCGGGGTGGGCGTTCCAGGAGCGCGACGTGTCCATGGACCGGGGGCCACCAGTGCTGTGTGGCTGTGGGCGTGACACAGGAGAAAGGAAGTGTTTCGCCGCGCCTCTCTGCGCGTCAATGACGAGCGGCGGCGCGCAGCAGTGCTCAAGGCTCCACGAGGAGGGCCGCATCGTCCCATTGCTGCCACCGCTGGTGTCGATGTGCGCGGGCAGGTGCGCCGCATGTGGGGGCCTCAGTTTCGTGGTGTGCAGCGGCTGAGACGGCAGCCGGAAGGTGTTCGACGAAAAATGAAGAGCTATTGGAGACCGCTGGAGAAAAAAAGATGAAAAAGATTATCTCCTCCGAAATGACATCTTTTCTGATGGTAGACTGGTGACGACAGTGGGCCGGTCAAAAAGTTTTGATATATACGAAAGTGTAGCTCATCTGATTAGGTTTGTCGAGGTGCATTCATTGCACTTACAACCTTGATTATTATTACTAATATGACAAGCAAAACCTAAAGTTCCATTGTCCTAATATGGCAAGCAAAAAAATCTCAATAAATCAAAACATTCTATTCTAATTGTTTTTTTTTATTTTGTTGTGGAGAAGACATATACGGCACGAACTTTTTATCATATATCTTTCTAATATAAATATAGATCATTAAATTATGCGCTAAGTAAAAAAAATGTTGTGATATTGGGGGGCATAGCCCCTACCAGCTCCACATTGCTCCACCCTTGGCGGACGACGATGGAGGTGGGAGGGGGAGGGAGCAGCAACAAATAGACGAACGCGAGGCACACGAGGCGAGGCGAGGACCAAGACACGGTGCCCGTTGACCAACGCTGGGAGAACAAGAGGGAGGTAGAGATGGCCCCCCGCTTTGAGAGGCGCGACGACCGGAGGTCTCGGGACCTCTTGTGGGCGTAGCTAGCCTTAAGGCATTCCGGCCTCCCTGGCAGTAACAGTAGTCGAACCTCCCCTTGTTGATGTTGTCCTAGATCCACTCCCCTCCGCCTCACCACCGTGACGAGCACCGTGCCTGGGGAGTTCCTGAGGGAGCCTAGCCAGTCGGCGACCTATAATAGGGTTGTGAATGCATTGGGTCACTGCCTATCGCTATGGTGGATCTTTGCGATGAACTATAACAGGGTTGTGAACGTGTTGGGTCACTGGCTATCGCTATGGTGGATCTTTGACGATGAAGGCAGTGAACCAGGGTGCGGAACGTGGAGGATGATGGGGGCGAAGCTGATTCATTGGAGCTGGGCTGGAATAGATCAAGAGGCACCATGGCATGAATCAAGAGTTCAACGTTCACGAGGGGACGCCGCACATGTCATCATCCATCGATATGGAAGACAGAGGCAATCCATAGGGCTAGGTGGAGCGGGGTAGTAGATGAGGGAAGGGCGGCCCGAACCTGCGATTGGAGGGTCAACCGGTCGACGACGGTGGAAAATCACGCGGGGTGGACGTTCGACTGAGCAGGGTTGAAGAGGCGCACCGGTGCGGGAAGGTATATGCTAAAACCAATTGTGGGGCGTAACACTTTATTTTGGTTATATTTTATTATTAGTATAGTATAGTAAAGACTATTGTGTTCTTTTTTAGTGGAAGAGATTATTGTGTTCATGGTCATTGGTGCCTCGCACGTATACAAGGGAGGTCGTGGGCCGTTGCACCCAGCCCAGACCAGGCCCACCCACGTGGGTTCGCAGGCTGCAAACACGTCGCTCCTTGTGGGCTGGGGCCATGCTGTCGTGAAGCTGTTTCGTCTGGACGGCGGCCCACAGGCAGGCTCCCAAGAGGCCAAGTTTCCTTTGGTTAGTTTCCCTGTTTATCGGTCGCCGCACCCCCATTACCTTTTCTAATTTCAAATTTAATTTCAAAATGATCTCGGCCAACGGTACTCCAGGCCCCAACGTCGCCAATAAATAGCCTCCGCCGCCCTTGATCGCCACCACTCCATCCTCCAAACTCCGCCGCTTCATTCACACCCCGCTGTCTGCAACCGCACCGGCGCCGCATAGTTCCCCGCTGGGCTCCTCCAACCGCGGCGACACGCACGACGACGAGGAGGTAACAAGCCGGTGCTTCTTTCCTGTCGGTTCTTGGCTTTCGGCGATTTTCTTCCACGTATGTTATGATTTTCACGGTACATTTGAGCGGTCATGATTCGGTTTTCCACGGAAATTAAAGGGTGAGGCAACTTTTAGCAGATCAGATCACTAGGGGGGCTAGCTTTGGAATCGTCTCGACGGGTATGCAGATGCAGTCAGGAGTTTTTTTAGCAGCACGTGATCATAGTCCAGATCGACTTGATTCTTGTTCTGATCGGGTCTTTTTTTTATGCATTTGCGTCTTAGATAGATTCACCAGTTTATTTATGTCGATGCTCTGGGTAATGAACCCCCATGGCATTTCCTGTTCCTGTGCTGTGAATTTGTGATAAATCCCCTTGGCTTTATTAGCAGTTACCCTATTTAGTGGTCCATTTTGCCTTTTTTTTTTTGGAACGGCAACTACTCATCCCATTAGGCACTGGTAAAGCCCCCCGAAAAATACATTCTTGTTTATGTTTCTGGCGGTTCCATGAACCTGACGAGCACCTACTATTGGCAGTTTTTTTTTATGAAGCCAAATAGACATAAGATATCTGACAAGACAGACTTTACTCATATCATATGCATGTATTGTTGCAGGCATCATGGAAATTATTAAGTTCAGAATCAGAGGGCGAAGGCTTTGTTGACTTGTGTTCAGATGGTGAGGACAGGACCGTTCTGTGCTCAGACAGCATCGTTTCATGCAGCTCAGACAGAGAAGACGATGGCTATGGTGATCGCAGCACCCGTTTTCGCCCGCCCATCCATTCTCTCAGTCTCAGCACGACTTCTGACGAGAATAGCGACGAAGAACCAATCATGTTGGAAGTCGACAGTTTTTTAAGTGACACTCGTCAGGCTTCATCCTTTTATAGGCCTGCCGAGAATAGACCAGCCACTGGAAAGATATCAAAGCTGACAAAGAAGGACTTGCTTCGGCAGCCCATAACTTCTGTTATTGATGCTCAAGCCGATATTGGCTCAGAAGTCCCAGAGAAAAGCCTTTTCAGTGTTGATGAGAAAGTTGTTTATGAAGATGCCCTGAAGGTATGGATCTTTGGTTTGATTGACATATTGGTGCCTTGCTCAAATATATAAAACCTGTTTGCACTTATGTGTGCAGTATATCCAACAGGAAAAAATGGAAGAAGATTTGCCTGAAGATGTTCTGTCAGTATCACTCCTTAAGCATCAGGTACCTTTTTTTTTTAAAAAAAATAATAATTTTAGTCTTGTTATTATTTTGCTTGTTCCAGGGCTGTATTCACTTATGTGCTCTTTTATGTTTCAAAGAAAATAGCATTAGCTTGGATGGTCTTTAGGGAGAATAATGCACATTGCTCAGGTGGAATTTTGGCGGATGATCAGGTTATTTCTTGTTTCATTTTTTTTCGGAAACTGCTGGCAGGATTATGCCAGGCAAATACTTTTCCCCAGCAAATTTTAATCATTTATCAAATTCCCTTGTTTATAGGCACATAGTTTACTGTGATGCAGGGTCTTGGGAAAACAATATCTACAATTGCTCTTATACAGAAGGAGAGGCTTCAGCAATCTAGGTTCATGAGTGATGATTCAGAATGTGGAATATCTGTCGGCGATGATAATGAAGCAGCGCTTGATATGGACAAGAAGGGATTGAAGGTCCATGCTAGTCGATCAAGGGCTGTTAAAGCTCAACCCAAGAAGGCCAGAGTGAGCTCCACTGCATCAAGCTTGAGGCCAACGACTAGTTACATTGGTGGTCTGCCCTGCTAGTATTCTTAAGCAGTGAGCTAATGAGCTGTCGACCAAGGTTACCAGAAGTGCGGAATTGTGTGTTCTGGTTTATCATGGAGGTTCAAGGACTAGAGATCCCACTGAGCTGGCGGATTACGATGTTGTCGTCACAACATACACAATTGTGGCCCGTGAAGTGCCTAAAGAAAACACTAATGATGAGGTTTCTCCTGGCAATAAAAGGAAACTTAAGAAAAATGCGAAAGGCAAGCCAAAGAAGATAAACAAACCTGGCCCACTTGCTAAGGTACGATGGTTCAGAGTTGTTCTAGATGAAGCCCACATGATAAAAGGACACCAAACTCAAACGGCTAAAGGCTGTTGTGGATTGAGTGCAGAAAGGAGATGGTGCTTATCAGGAACACCTATACAAAATAACATTGTGGACCTTTACAGCTATTTTCGCTTCTTGAAATATGAGCCTTACTCTAAATTTCGTTCATTTAGCTCTATGCTAAAAGACCCAGTCTCCAGGGACACAAGTCATGGCTATAAGAAACTTCAAACTGTCTTGAGGATAGTTCTGCTACGGCGCACAAAAGGTGAGATACTGACTGCACTGTCTGCATTTTTTTACCTATCGCTTACACTGAAAAACCTGCCCAATGCATCCTTCTGCCTACAAAAGTTATTTTTTAGCATAGGCCTCTGCCATATCACAATAACAATGAACATTGAACTGCCTTAACAAGTATTGATTTTTTTTAATTCTTTTTAGTACTAGACACTGTTCAATTTCGTTTGCATTTGTGTGCGGCTAGTACTTTGATTTTCTGAAGGAAATTCCACCTTGTTTTGCATCTGAACTTTTAAAAATAATTCAGTATATTTGACTGTTGCTTGATTCTTCTTTGGTTGTGATATTTTTTTTCATTGATCTACTTTTGATCTATTTCATTATAGAAACACTACTTGATGGAGAGCCAATCATAAAAATACCACCAAAGACAATTCAGTTGAGTAAAATAGATTTCACTAAGGAGGAGCGGGCTTTCTATTTAAGGCTTGAAGAAAACTCTCATCAAACGTTAAAGGTAGTTACCAGTTTACATCTTTAATTATCTTCATTCCATATTCTATCAATAAGAAGTTAATAGTTTTCCCCATTCCCTCTGTGTTGTCTTGCATGATATAAATATGTTTTGATCTCGAAAAGGCTACCCCAGAGATCTTCAATTTTGATGTTCATGAGAGCTAGTTACCCACATAAACTTTATGGAAGTTAGGTTCAGCAGTCTATATTTAAGCCAAAACAGCTCCAATACTGATACCCGATGTTCGGTCCTCTTTTATCTTTAAATATAAGTTCCAATCGCCTAGAAATTTCAGTGTGTGGTCTCTGTTGCTCATATATTGAGTTCATTTTACAGGGGCGTTCTAAAGATTTCATACAGAAAAACTACGTGCACATCCTTGCGTTGCTGTCTCAACTTCGGCAGGCTTGTAACCACCCTTTTCTTTTGAGGGGGGAAGAATCGTGTGCCCACTCTCTACGTTTGGCAAAGCAACTTCCTGTGGTGACAGCAGTAAATTTGCTTAAAGTTCTGGAAAGCGGTGCTGCAAAATGTACCATATGTGGTGTAAGCAAACAGTTCATTCAGAATTTGTGCAAGCAATTTTTGTCACCTTAAACTAGCTGCTAGCTCCTTCATTCTCATAGTATTTCGCGCTCTAGAATATTTTCTTTGTTTCATGAGGAACGAAAAGGAGGTCAGCTTAAACAAGGGGGTATTTGTGTGACTATACACAAATGATCTTCTGGATTAATTTTAGGTGAAATGTTATTTAATCCACAGCTCTGACAGTCTTTCATTTTCCTACAATTTTTCGTAGGATCCGCCAAAGGATACTGTTGCACCACCATGTGGCCATGTTTTCTTCTCCGAGTGTGTGCATTTGAAGTTATTAGAAAATAAAAAGATAATTGAGAAGGTGTGCCCTGCTTCTCCACATTGTGGAAGAGAAATAAGTGCTGAAAATCTTTTATTCACCGATGTATTGAAGTTCTGTCTCTGGCCTAATCTGGAGTCTGAAGCACCAACTAGTCATTCCATAGATGTGCACCGACCATTCTCGGTCTGTGAAAGTAGCTACATCTCCTCCAAGATCCGGAACACCATTGACATACTGAACTCTATCATCAACACGGGGGATGCTGACGATACCATGGGATCAGTTCCAAGTGAGATCACTCCTGCTAAGGCCATAGTCTTCAGCCAGTGGACTGGCATGTTGGACTTGCTGGAACGTTCACTGAGCAGCAACCATATTGAATTCAGGAGGTTGGATGGGTCAATGCCTCTGAACTTAAGAGAAAGAGCAGTGAAAGAGTTCAACACTGACCCAGAGGTCATTTTTCTTGAGTGCTACTACATTCCAGTTTTCACAGTTAATTCATTCATTCATTACAAAGTAATCCATTTTCATTTTTCAGGTGAGAGTGATAATTATGTCACTGAAGGCTGGCAATCTTGGTCTGAACATGGTAGCCGCCTGCCATGTGCTCATGCTTGATCATGTTAGTGTTGATCTCTCCAGCTCGGCCCAATGGCTGAGTTGGGCCTTGACCTCGCGCCATGATCGGGGGCGCCCAACCCTACGTAGTTGGTGGACCCCCGTCGCACTGCGCTATAAAGAGATGTAGGGCCGACGGCTCTTAATACGAGGTTCACCGTGAGCCGCCACACCCACCAACAAACCCAATCCGATCTAGTGAGGGCCGCAGCCAGCGACGGGAAGCTCCACTGCCGTCTTTACCGCCGCCTCTGCGCCACCACTGCACTGTGACTGACCTCAACACCATCACCGCGACACCGCCGACCTGGACCGCATCACCTTCGCCATGGCTACGTCGAGCTCTTCCTCCAAGCCCGTGGATGGTCGGTGACATCTCACCTCCCTTCCTCTCTCTCTCTAGATCATGTTCTATGAAGTTTTTATCATGTATGTAAGGTTGTACCCGCTAGATCTATGTCTAGGTGATCCACTATGTCTATCAGATCCTTGGTAGAATCCCTCCGCTGAGGACAAGGCAGTTGATAGAGTTGATAGGGCACACAGGATCGGTCAGACCCGCCCAGTTACCGTTTCTCGTTCAACCGTCAAAGACACTGTGGAAGACCGCATTTTATCGCTGCAGGTAATTCTGTCATTGACGCACTTACATTATGGGGTCTAGATTTTCTTTTCCTCCTTAGATTATATCCAACAATAACACCTAAAATATAAGACCCTTTCGACCTTTGGGTAGCGCTACAGGCAAATGGTTCAATACCCATTCGTCATCTTCTCCAACAACAGGACAAAAAGAGAATCATTTATGAAAATGGGTTTCTAGGAGAGAGGCAACCCAAAATAGGTCTCCCGTATAGATACTCTGTTGGAGGCCGATTTTAAGTCTCTTGCTAACCATTTTAGATTTATGTGTCCATATAAGTTACTTGTTGGAGACAGTTTTAGAGGGCATAGACTTCATTAACAGTGTGGGTTTAGAAAGTATTCGGAGCATAGCTCAACAGAAGAATGGTTAGTCTTGGTTCACTCAGTTTCAGTTGGTCATTGAGCTAAATACTTTAAGAAACTGATGTCTAAATTTCCAAAAGTTCAGTACATGAACGCTACTCCTAGATTTGTCATTGAATTGTATAAATTCTAGGGATGTAAAGCTAAAAGAGTACTAAGGCCCTGTTCGCTTCTCTTATAATCCGTTATTTTCAGCTTGTTTTTTCAGCCGGAACAGTGTTTTTCTCTCCCAACAAATCAGCCGGAACAGTGTTTCGGCTTGTTTTTTCAGCGAAGCGAACGGGACCTAATTGTTCAAGTTGTCTCAACTCCCAAAGACAATCTGTGTGATAGCTCAAAGGTGCATTACTGAACAATCTGTGTAGAGTAGATATGCAATTTTAAACACCTTCCAAGCTGATGATTCAATGTGTGCGCTTGTTCTGGCAGGAGGGAAAAAGGAAGATGATCGAATCTGCGCTGGGTGAGGACCCATCCGGTGACAGTCCAGCAACCCGGCTCACTGTATCTTCAAGATGTGATGACGGCTTACAGGATGTAAATTGCAAGGATCCTTCGCAGGGTAGGGTTGATGAATATTTATCGCCGGGATAAATATGCAAGCTGTAGGCCGGTTACTGACGAGTACGTTCAATAATTGTGCTAGTGTGTTTGTGTGCGTAAAAAACGAAATTTGTGCTGTCTATGATCCTAGGAGGCGAGTGGGTATCAAATAGTGTTTTTTAGTGAGCTCATAAATCAAGATGGCATGTCATTTAATTTGGTTTCTCTCTCTAAACAAATTATTGGCCCTAAGATGATATTGGTTCTTTAGCAATAATACCATATTGATTCTTTAGGTCAGTCCCAGAGTGAGTTTTATGTCCTATTTTTAAAAATTTCATGTATAGACAAGTTTTATTTCTATAAAACTTTAATAATCTCTCTTCATCTATACTATGCTATGTGAGCTTGTTTAGTAAATGGTACTAAGAAATTAAAAGTCATAATTTATTTTGTATGATTTTTTTTTGTGAACGGTGTGATTTTGTTACGGTTGAAGTACGCTTATTGCCTCGGGACACGTTAGGACCATGAGTACAATGTATATTGTACTACTACTACTACTTAAAGATGTAAGACGATAAAACCTCACTACTTATTTTATATCATAAATATTATTATTTTTTATATAGTTCTATTCAAACTTTAAATCATTTGACTTATCAGAAAACGAGAATATATGGACAGAGAGGATATCTTCATCCCAAAAAAAGACATAAATATAGAACAATGTTTATTCAAACATTTTTAAGTTTAACTAAATTTATATAAAAAATACTAATATTTAACATACTAAACAATATGTATAGTTAGACTGATTATCAAATATGTTTACTGCTCAATGCTTTTCTAAACAGTAAACGGTCTTTACATAGTCGACCTTCGTTTAGCGTTTAGACTGTTTACACAGTGTTTAAACGAAGTTAAATGGTCTAAACGGTTTTGTATTTAAAAAAATACATATAATTATATATGTGCATGTAAAAAAATCAAATATTCTAGCATTTATACATATTTATCCGAGTAAAAATTAATTATTTTGGTATGTATATATATTTATGCATGTGAAAAGAACCAAATATAGATATTTATGCATGTAACATATCAAGTGTACACATTTATAAATATAATAAACTTAAGTATATAAATTTATCCATACAAAACTGAACTAGATTTACCTCGATGTTCGCCTAAACAATCGTTTAACACAGCTGTTTAGCTCGTTTAATGTTGTTTATCTCTGTTCCGTTTAGGCCGTTTAGACTGTTTTTCCCGTTTTTTTTTTTGCCGTTTAAACGGTCAACCGTTTAATTTCCGTTTACCCTCTAAACAAAACAGTTTACCACCGTTTACCGTTTACTGACCGTTTAATCGGCCGTTTAGGCCGTTTAGGCGAACACTATTACTACTTAATAATCTCACTGTTCCAATGGTATGTCGTTCAATCTTTTTTAGGTACTAGGAGTACCTCTGTCTAGAAAATAATGTAACTATAGGTACATTCTTGGTTATAGTGTCTAAAGTTTGACCTAATATATAGATGAAACCATTAATGTTTATAACGCCAAAAAGATATAGTATGAAATAGGGAATATTGTGTTCTTCCCCTACTTTAATGTCCAATTATGATTTTACCCTCGTTTTTGTCATCGTTGTGATTTTACCCCTACTTTGTAACTACTGAGGCTCGGTTTACCCTTACTTTTAACTCTGTTAGTTGTATCTGAAATAAAAAAAATTAAAAATAACAAAACCCTTCACAGTAAGACCAAAGGACAACAATACCCCTTATCCACTCATACCCTCTCCAATCCCTCATCCTCTATCGTATCATCTCTATCTATCTCATTCTCCTCATGTCAATCCTCTAAAACCCTAGCAGCGGCGTGGGCGTGGGGTGTGGCTGGGCGGCGTGGGCATGGGGTGCGGCTGGGCGGCTCCTTGCGCCGTGCGATGAGGGCACGGGCGTGGTCCCGAGCGGCCCGGCCCTGTTCGTCAGCGGGAGGCGCCCGGGCGTCGGGCGGCCAGGGCCCAGTGGCTGAGCGTGGGGTGCGGCTGGGCGGCGACGAGGGACGGGTGCGGCCCCGGGCTCCTCCAACTCCAACTCCTCCAACGCCTCCGCCTCTTTCAACCCCGTCGCGTAGTCCATCATCGCCTTCACCGAGGTCTCCACGGGCGAGCTTAGCGTGTGCGCGGCCTGCAGCCGGTGGCGCCAAGCGCTTCTGGCTGGCCGCCGCCCACGCCCGGCGTAGTAGGGGGGCAGCTCTCGCCGGTCTCTAACGGTCCCGACCCGCTCGCCGACCTCGTCGCCGGCGAGGACCACGTCATGGCCTACGAAGCCAACACCTCCGCCTTCGGGACCGGGAGAGTCCTATGGTGGCGCGGTGGGGACCGGTTCCCCGCGTGGGCCGACGGCGGATTCCGCTCGCTCGTCTCCGAGGACGGCTTCACCTGCGCCGTCGAGACCAACGCGTCTGGTCGTCCGATCTTTGGGGCCCGCAGGTAGCGCGGTGTAGGCGGGGCTCGCCAACGCGACCGCCGTGCCGTACCTCGCCGCGAGGGGATCCTGAGCATGCACCGTCCTCGCATCCGTGCCTCTACCGCGACGCGCTGCCAAGGGACCTCTTTGGGTATAGCCTGGCCGTCGGCGATTCCCACTCGTGCACGCTCCATCGGCCCAACCACACCGCGGTGTGTTGGAGCGTCGGGGGCCCACCACCACCTGCACGAGGCGCGCGGGATCTCTTTTCAGTTCCTCGTCGCGGCGGCAACTTCACGTCTTGGCGTCGCGTCCAATGACTTCTGGCGTGTACTCTTTGGTCCACGAGCGCGCCGATGTTGCGCCGTTGCCGCCAAGATCTCGCCTTGGCGTCTGCGTCGGTGACGTCGGGCCGCCTACCACCGAGGACGTCAGCTCCTGTGATTTGGTCTGTAGGAAAATTAGTATCAATTTGTAGGAAAAATGAGTTTATGTCTGTAGAGCGATTTAGCTAATTGTGTATTCGCTAATTGTGTATTTGGTGATGTGATTTATAGGCCAAACTACATGGATATGAGCCTTGTTGGTAGAGTTCTGTCATTTTTCAGTTTGCCTGATGGGGGACCAAAATCATGGCGACAGGGTAGAACCTTGCCTACTCAAGTTGTTGACATGCATAGCTTTGACCTGCTGTAGCTAGTTAATTTCATAGCTGAGCACTACATGTGGGCTGGAACAGAAGGAACAGAAGGGACTGGAACAGAAGGAAGAGGAAGAGGAGGGAGGTTGGCTGCATTGTTAGAAATAGATGCATGAATGTGATGTATGACACTAAACATGTAATATCTCACTATTAGCTACCGCTTTTGTTGGACTTATATGTTGGATGAGGCTTAGTGTTGTATGGATACTTTTGCTATAATTTCACTTGATGTGATATTATATATCTATATTTGCATGCTGTGTGGAATCATATGTAACAAGTTGTGCAATGATGCTGCCAATTTAAAAAAAACAGGGATAAAATCACAATGTATTTAGATAAGTAGGAGCAATTTCGCATGAGCAAACTTGTCCTTACTGAGCCCATTTGACACCATTACCTGCTGTTCACGGAATATGGGTAAACTTAAGCTTCGTTTTCAAAAAACAGGGGTAAAATCACAACGATGACAAAAGCAGGGGTAAAATCACAACTGGACGTCAAAGTATGGGCAAGAACGCAATAGCCCCATGAAATATATCTTATGAAAAATCTAATAGTACTTATTTATATCATAACTAGTTATACTTTTATAAATAATTAGTCAAACTTGAGACACTTTAACTTAGCATTGTGCTAGAATTGTATTTTTCTAGATGGAGGGAGTACTATGTGCTTAGACATAGCGTGTATCTAAATGCACACAAACTAAAAAAGTCAAAACATCTTATAATTTGAAAAAGATGAAGTATCTAGAAAAGTCGAGATGACTTATAATTTACAACAGAAGGAGTATCATAAATATTGATACCATTTTTTAGATGAATATTGATGTTTAGATAGTACCGTATTGCCACCATTAGGAGAAGTTGTGTCCTTTCCTTCTCTCACCGCCACCGCCACATTTAGGGGCCCTATTCTTCTTCCTCTCTGACGAGTTTGATGATGGCAAGAAGAGGGGCCGTCTCTTGTCTACAATGGTTAGGTCTAGTTTGTTTATGTTTAGTCCATATAAATTTATCAGCAAAAATAGATGATTTTGGTTTGGGGTCTTGTTACTCGCGATGATTTCCATGATGAGATCGTTGTTGTAGGTAGACGACCAATTTGTGGCCATTATCTAAAAGGGTGTGGTGGTCCTAGGCACTCCTAACGGGGTCATTGATCTCATCATCCATTGTCGCGTAGAGAAAATCAAGAATCGGAGGTGATGAATATGCAGCCTCGACAATCCGAAATGTTGGATCTTGTAGCATCTTCAATGTTCCGTTGGATTCGGCATTAGGACTGCTTTGGTATTCATCGGGGGCACTATTCATTTGGAGCATTGGCTGCATCAAAGAAAGATATTAGAAAAAAAGACGATAGAAGAATCTAAATAAAATATAATATTTTTTTAGATTATTTTATGGTAAGGGTAATATGAGGATGTAGTGTTCTAAGTTTTTAATACATATATTCTAAGTTTTAATATACAGCATATTCGTTTGATCATAAATGATCGTAAATTTTAACCAACCAACAGTATTTTTCTCTCACATCAAACCAACCCAACAGTAATAATTCACGATCGTATACACGATCCTATCAACACCAGCCGAACCGGCTGATAGTTCCTCCGTGCCATAAAAAAAATAGGACAGTGCTATTTGAGGGAGTCCGTGTGACGCGCACCAGTCGAACTCCCAGTCGTCCACTCAAGACCCGATGCACAGGCTGCCGGTGGGTGACATGACAGGACCAAGACCAACCGTAGGCCATACCCCACAGGCACAGGCGCACAGCAGCCAATCCCCGTAGCGCGCGCTGCTGTCACTCTGCACTGCTCCATAGGCCACGTCCATGGAAGACCGGCGTCCGTTTCGGCCG